CAGCAGGAACTCTCACCCCACGTCCTGGAAGGACAGAGATTCTGAAACGCAGCTCCTTAGAGGTTGCTTAGGGGGAAAAAGCAGCATCCAGAGACTTTCTGTAGCTAGTCCATATGAAGTAGATCCTGGAGACCATCACCCCAGTGGTGATCTTCGTGTGCTGGTGTGGGGGCTGCAGCGTGCCAGGGAGCTCAGTGAGGAAGCTGGACTGAGAGGAGTGGCTGTGCCTCAGTTTCTCAGTGCAGGACAGAAAAGGTGGGGTGGGAAAGGCAACTGTCCACCAGCCACAGCTTTGGGGAGAGCTCTCTCGTTTTCTGCAGAGATTATGCCACACTGAGGTTACTTTTAAACAAACCCAGTAGTTGTCAAGGTCTCTATTCCCCATTTTATCCCCAAGTAACACACCTCTGTAGAGCTCCTGCACCTTGCTGGTGCATTCAGCCTGTGAATCACCTGTAGTTGTGTGTGTGTGTGCTGGGCACGGCGGGGTGGGACTGCACCAACTCTCTAATTTCCTCAGTTCCCGTGAGGCGGGTGCTTTGGGTCTGGCATGAAGTGTGGCTGCTGATGGTGTCGCCTTTCCAATGGGGCTAGAAATTAACTGTACAAAGAAATGAGAATCTAACAAGATGTCCATGTGTCAGTCTGAAATAGGATGAGTCAGAATACACAAAACACAAAAAAAAAAAAAAAAGTTTAATTATCTACAGGAGACTAATACTGCTGTAAGGACTTTTTTAATTCTGAGGAAGGACTGTTAATTTCAAGCCCCACCTGCCATTTTCATGGGAGAAGAGTGTTTTCTCACTGGGGTTCTGTGTTTAGGTCCTGCATGGTGGAGGAATCAGGAACACTGGAATCACAGCTGGAAGCTACTAAGGTAAGCAACATTCACCTCTCCAGGCAGACCCTTCCCAGCTGGTGACCTGGGAACATGGGGGGAGTGGAAGTGCCTGTAATTGTGTGGCAAAACCTTACTGGATTTACACATTTTAAGCACTGAAGAGGCCTGTGGGATTACCTATTAACGTATCTGATGTCTGCTTACATCACAAGTCATTAAACAACACTCTGATGTAGTTTTCCTTGTTCTTTTCTCTAAATGAGTGGGGTTAGGGCAGAGAAGATACAGTATTTTCAGCATGCTTCCTAGTAAGAGGTTTTTGTCTCAGGAACTGGTTTGCAATCCCTCTTGGTTTCCAGTAGTGTCTGTGAAGAAGGACATTGTTTTTAAAACTGTTCTATTCAGTATTCTATAATCCCAAGCATATGTATGTACAATCCAGGCAGAAGAGGAGTGTGACCCTGCCAGCCTATGTTCTGAGTTTTTAAGGAGTTTTGTTTTTACACTCCTTCATTTTCTCCTCTTGGCTCCCTCCTAACAGCGCAAGCACCAGGAGATCCGAGCTATGAGGAGCCAGCTGAAGAAGATTGAGGACCTTGGGGCAGCCATGGAAGAGGCACTTATCTTGGACAACAAATACACAGAACACAGCACCGTGGGGCTGGCGCAGCAGTGGGACCAGCTCGACCAGCTGGGGATGAGGATGCAGCACAACCTGGAACAGCAGATTCAGGCTCGGTACGGCCTCCGCCACGCGGTGTGAAGCCTGTCTGACCTGGGGGACACAGGACAGGAGGCACCGTGCCCGTGTCTGTGCTCAGGAGCCTCTCCTCTGCTCTGAGGAGTGTAGTGAGCATGTGAATCCCCACCCTCTCCTGGCCCCCCTCAGAGGGATGAAGGCAGCAGCTTTGGAGGCAGTTCCTGCTGGCTGTTAGCCGTGATGAGAGCTCAGGGAGATGGACTCGTCCTGTTGAGCTGTGGTGATGGAATGTCTTCTTTGTCCTCACCTCCTGATGCAGACAGAGTTCTGCAGTTCAGGAACTGTTCATGAGCTTTGCTTCCTCTTTTCCAGAAACACAACTGGAGTCACCGAGGAGGCCCTGAAGGAGTTCAGCATGATGTTCAAGTGAGTGGCAGGGGACGTGTGCCAGAGGAATGCTGGGGGGGGATTTCTGGCGCGTGGGCGGCTCCTGTTCAGGGGTTCTCTGACCAATCTGTTCGTAGCTCCTTTGTTGTCGGCCCAACTTTGTGCTGAGCTGCTCTGATCTCTGCCAGATGGCAGGAGCCTCCAGGGACACCCGCTGCTGGCTGGGGGAGGCACGGGCTGGCGGGGCCAGCCGCGGCAGTGGGAGCCTCTCCTGGGCACAGTGGTGCAGGAACCGGGACTGCCAATGAATTCCAGCTGGGAATACGGCCATTGTTTGAATGATTTTTGAGCAAAGTAAAGAATTTGTGCTTACTGCTTCTGTATGTTAGAACTGTTTGAATGGAGCTCGTTTGTCCAGGATAGTGGGCTTGTTATAGTCTGTTCTGGTTTTCAGCCCACTTTATAGCTTTCAGGACTCACCAACTGACACTTAAAAATGTGGGTTTTGGTTTTAGGCACTTTGATAAGGACAAATCTGGACGACTTAATCACCAGGAGTTTAAGTCCTGCTTGCGCTCTCTCGGCTACGACCTGCCTATGGTTGAGGAAGGAGAGCCAGACCCAGAGTTTGAGTCTATTCTTGACACTGTAGATCCCAACAGGTACGTGGGCTGCACCTTTTCTTTTCCTATTGTGAAGTATTTTATCAGTCTCCTCTGAGGAGCTGGCTGGGTGGCCTCTCACCCTGAGATCTGTGCTCCCTCTGTTGTGGAGAGTCTATGGCTGTTTCCACAACAAAGGAAGAGTCTTTAGGAAGGCAAGACTGACACTTGTGAAGGAGAAATTCACTTTAGAAAGCGATCTGGTGCTGACAGTCTCCGGAGTTCAGACTTCCACTCCTGGTGGAGAAGCCGGAGCCCCTCTGGGGCCGTGGCAGCCCCGGGTGCTGGGGCAGTGCTGCTGACAGGCTGGGTTTCGCCGGCAGGGACGGGCACGTCTCGCTCCAGGAGTACATGGCCTTCATGATCAGCAGAGAAACGGAGAACGTGAAATCCAGCGAGGAGATCGAGAGCGCGTTCCGCGCCCTCAGCTCGGAGGGGAAGCCCTATGTGACCAAGGAGGAGCTCTACCAAGTAAGTCCTGACCCAGCAGGAACACATGGAGGATTTGTGTTTACAGACTGCTACCCAGCACTAATGGCTTGGAGGTTCATGGCCCTGTGGTTGAGTCAGTTCTGAAGTGGCCAGGGTATCCTCTGCAGCAAACAGAAGTGATGGCAGCAGCCCTACCCATCTGCTTTCTTGGCTCTATAGAGGAGGAGGAAAAGCTTTAACTGCCAAAGAGCTGCTCGGGCTGAGTAAAGGAAGAGCTGCTCCAAGGCCTGGGAAGGAGGGGGTGCATTTGCTGGGCCTGTCCTCAGACACTGATCCTTTCCTTTCATCATTTGGGAGACTAGAGGGAGATGTTTCTCCAGACAGTGATTCAAAGGAGAAATTCAAGCCTGAGCTTAGAGAGTGTGAACATCACCTGCCAAGACAGCAAGTTTTTCCTGTCTCAGTCCCACCAGCTGGCAGAGACATAAAGAGGTTGCACTTCCTTGTATCAGTTACCTGCTCCATCTTCTCTTTGGTGGGAAGGCTCAGGTCAGACCTTCCAGCCCTTAACCAGGTGCTGACAGCCTGAGCACCTCCCTGCCAGGCAGGTGTAGTTCTGCCACTCCAGCTTCTGCCCCGAGCCGTGTGCCCCTGGCAGGGGGAGGGCAGCCTCCCAGTGCCCACCTCCACCTCCACCCTCTCTTTGTCTTTCAGAACCTGACCCGGGAACAAGCCGATTACTGCATTTCTCACATGAAGCCCTACATGGACGGCAAGGGCAGGGAGCTCCCCTCTGCCTACGACTACATAGAATTTACACGTTCACTCTTTGTGAATTGATCTGAAACACTAGTACAAAAGATGCGAAGGACATGCTCACGTTTGCTGACTGTAGCTCTGCATGTGTCTCTTTCTCTGTGCTCTACAATAATCAATGTTACTTTATGATGTAACCTTAAACTGCTTAGCTTAAAACTCTTAGGGAAAACAAACATTGCAGTGTGCTTCAATAAAAGTTACTGGTCGAACCACATATCTCCTGTTTAATGGCTAAATGCACCATTAACTGCTGGGTGGATGAGACTCCAGCTGTGACAGTTCGGGGTGTTTTACAGGCCAGTGCTGTGGAAGAGGTGAGTGGGCAGCTTCTGGAGCCAGAGCAGGAAGGAGCTTCACGGCGCTGCTCGTGTTGCCGCCTCAGTCCGTGGTCTCGCTCGCCAGCTGCTCCAGCTGCTGCAGCTCCCTGGGCCCCTGCTCCGTGAAGTCCGAACTCAGCTGCCAGACCCTGAGGGTGCCGGCAGCATCCCCTGCTGCCAGGAGCTGCCTGTGCCTGGGGTTGAACTCCAGGCAGTACACGGGGCGCTCGCCCGCGGCCGGCCTGATGGAGACGGCGGCTTTGCGGGAGCTCCTCCCGAGGTCCACGAGGTGCACGGCTCCTGCAAGAGAGGGACGTGTTCATCCCGGGTGTTCAACAGCACACCAGCGTCTGCTTGTCTGGAAATCAAGAGCTGCTCTTTGTACCCTGTTTCCCCTTCCCCCTGAGGGTGTCTCAGCTGTGGCAGATGCCATCACTGCACGGCACTGCAGGTCTATCCTGCTGTCAGACCTGAAGCCAGCTGGCCAAATTCTGTGAAATCTTCATTCCTGAACTCAAAAATGTTTGGGCAGTTTTCTAGGAAAAAAATATTGGTTTAAACCATTAGTTCTAAATGTCAGTACCCAGTAAGCTGGGCAAGTTTTGGCCTGTTCTGTCCCTAAGAAGGGTGGTGGCAACAGAAGGTGTCATCAAAAGTGAAAAATAACCGTGGCTGAAGTTGTCCTGCTAGTCAGAAATCACTTTGCTATACTAATAGCAGAGTACAAACATTGCTCCCTGCTCTGCTTGGGGGAAATGCTAATGGGTACAACGGACTTGTCATAATTTGTACTCAGCACAATCTTCATTTTCTGTCTGAGAAGAGGCACCTGCTGTTACTTGCCTTCCCCGGAGGCAGCTGCAAAGACCAGTGGTCGAACCGGAGACCAGCGCACACAGAACAGGTACTTCTCTGACAGCTGAAGAGAAACGAGGGGTTGTGTCTGCAACATGGAGTGCAAGTGAACCTGTCCATCCGTCCCGCAGCTCAGAAAGAGGTTCCTGAGGGAGGGAGAAGGCAAAAAACAACTTTTTTGGCTTTATGGCTAAAGATAAAAGAACAAAATTCACAGAAGGAGCACGACCCTGGCCAGCAGTGCTGCTCTGCAAAGGTCTGACTGTGCTTCCCAAGGCAGCTGTTCCTGAGACATACGCTGTGGAGATGCAGCTTTGTTACTGCCCTCAATTAGGCTTAATGAGTGTCCACTGAGTATTGCTGGTGGGTTGTGGGCCAGGGATGCCCAAGAAGTGCTGATCTACAGTCGAGCATTGTTCGAGCTGTTTGTCTCATGCAAATTAAATGCAAACGTGGGCCATCAGCATGTTTCACAGAAACATGGCTTGGGGCCTCTGCCATGGACGGTGGGTAACTGCAGGCAGAGATGGGAGCCTCTAATTAAAATCCAGGCAGCTGCTGGTAAGATTTCTGATGGGCGGATCACTTAAGCAGGGACAAATAAATTACTTTTTCATCTCTCTCCCCTCATTTTTAAAATTGCTTTTTAATATTAACGTCTCAGATGATGTAGGGAAGGTGCTAATGCTCTATGCTGCCCTGGGTGCAGTTACTCGTGTTGTGCCTACGTGCAGCATCACCAGAGCCAGGGGATGGTGCTTCTCCAACAGCGGGAAGTTACTCCATCAAGTTCCCAACGGCAGGTGACTCTTTTTTTAGGACATGGACACGCCCCCCTGCAGGCTGTTTGTAAAACGCCTGTTTAGAGCCGGGCAGCGCTTGGCTCCGAGGGGCAGGGCCGGCGTTACCTCCAGCACTCACCTGTGGAAGGGCGAGCAGCTCACGGAGTACACGGGCCCGGCGTGCGGGGCGAAGGCGAGCTCTGCTGGCGCCCGGAGGGGAACGGAGCCGCCGGTCCGGGGCGGAGCCA